GGAACTGCCAATTTTTTTCGTTGTTTTCCTAATGACCTTAAGCAAAGAAAAATAACTCGGATTCACGAACAGCCGCATGCTTGGCATGAGTTGAAACGCTACAGTTTATTTTACAACGCCGGCAAACAAGTGTGGCAGGTAGGGGCCGCAGTTTCCGCTCAACTACGGTGGTTTTAAAGTTCACTAAACAAAACCGGTAACAACGCCGTAACAGCCTTTCGATGGACAGTTTGCGAGCTCTAAATGGCCATTACGGTAAATATTTAATACAAAGCAAATCCTAGTTAAGCCTGCGACAAGTGCATGCGAATTCAGTTTTCAGCTTTGGTCGGCCATGCGATTGTTATTGTGTATGGTGGCAGTGCTGCAAGCTAACCTTCTTAATTTTATAATAGCTCTTAATGGTAAACTTTTCTTAGAACTTTTATTTACTAGCTTTTCATTGAAACTGATGGGAAGTTGAACACTTGAAATGGTATGCTTTCTACTGTTCCTCAAAACATAATGCGCGCTCTACAGTCTCTTTCAGGATAATGTACTTGCTAGAGTAAAAACGTTACAAAATTACATAGCAAAGTGTGGGGCTCAATGTTGTGCACATAAAAATACACCTCTTTACTATGAAATTATTGCTAAATGTAAAGACAAGCGAGCGAAACAAAGAAATGCCAGAATGATTACCAACATTTGTGTAAACAAATAAATAAACGCCAGGCCGGCGCGGAAGGCGCAGCACAGTCACAGTGAAAGCTAGAAGAGCAGCCGTTACAGATCTTTTCTAAAAACTCATTAGGTAACTGCTGCAAACACAGTGTCTTGATGCCACTATGGCACTATCAATAGAAATTTTAGGGTTGTAGGCCGGCATTCGCTATGCTATCTTCGTCATTTTTCTGAGAAGCATGGTATCTCCTAAGCACTTGCAAAGAACTTCGTGGCAATTGCTTATGCAGTGGCTGACGATGAGGAATTATGCCTGATGTGGGTATTCGTTACAGTTATTAGTAAAACTAGAACAAGCTTTTCTAATGGCATGGATCAGTGGACGACCCACTCGTTACGCTGTTCGCATTGTGCGACGGCTGCTTGATCTTTGGCTTTTTAAAACGCTTTATAAGTAGTATTAACGCGATTTCTTTCCCGACATCAAGCCTGCCAAAGGCAAGTTGGTCAACAAGCGCCAAGCACCAGCGTAGCGCAGTGGTAGAATATTAGGTTTGCACCCAGTTCACCCGGTTTCTAGCCCCACTGGGTCATTGGTATTATTTTTTAAAACTTCGTGGTTCAGTATTTATGAACACTAATGGCTACGGCGGCGGCGGACAACTACGGCACTGTACGGCACCCACATTGTGGTCTTACAGCTTTCACTGTAAGAAAGATTGAGATAGCATGGTTGTCTTGTGAACTTATTGCGACCATTTTATTCATCCACAACACGAAAACATTCACCTCGCAGAAGACACAGAATATCAATTACAATAGCACGCAAGTATGTTTCTAACAGCTTTTGACGTGCCTTATTATACCGTCTGCATGTCAAAGAGAGCTGATATTGATGCATTCTTTCTAGTTCACTATACGTGTCACAAAATGTAGAAAGAACTGCGCTGAACCTCTGTTTTGCTACATGAGAGCACTTTCTTTCTAGTGAATCTTTCCAGTTTTATGGATTTGAGAAAAAAAATACGCCAGGAATACACATACCTGCAACCCAAGCAGCATGAAAGTTTGAAAGAACACGCTAGGGTGGGGGATATGAGGTATTTATTTTTTGAATATCGGGAATCACTAAAACACACTTCGGACGCTCTGCCATTGCACTTCTGTGCAGTGCGATTGCTGAATCTCGGTGTTACCGACCATTACATTACAAACCATAGGGTTTTGGCATCGGTAGTCACTTCCCTGACAATAACAGTTCTCGCAGAAAATTTATTATTGGGATTCGTCGGGGGGTCAACGCTTCCTATGGCAGGTTTTCTTTAACACTGGCACTTATTCTTTGCAATACTCTGGTCGAAGATACAAATGACAAATGTTAAAGGCGAAGCATTTCTTAGGGAACTTAGGTGACTTGGAGCGTATCTATCAGACAGCGGCTAGATTCATCTAAGCGGCTAGATTCATCTATCTAGCCGCTTAAGTTTGGACACTCTCAAGGTCACTCCCATCACTTGCAGTGAACCAGAATCAGCATGGGAGGGTAAGATGGTTTGACGAATATGACACGCTGGTCAAAATATGAATATTGTTACAATTCCGTCGCATACATTGTCAAACACTTCCCGCCAGACAGTGGCACATATCCGCGGGCGAGTATGCGCCGCTGGTATGCGGGTAGTGCAAGAGGTGATTGACACTCAGTATCTACCCAGGAACGACGAGAACACAGATGGGCAATTTTAACGCGTGAGCGTTAAGCAATACCCAACATCGCAACTGTCGACCCAAAGAAGACATGAAATAAAAGTCAGTGTTAATGAAAAACCTGCAATAGGCAGCGTTTGCCCCTGACGAATGGAAATATTAAATTTGAGGGTCCCAGCAGGAATCGAACTCAAGCATTCTGCGTGGTAGTCAAGCATTCTACCACAGAGCTATGCCAGGTCTCGGAACTACTTTTGAAATAGACGCTAATCTTCGTGAAACGTCAATAGTGGTTGCCGTGCTACCTACCCAATATTATAAATATTACATATCTACTCCTTTCATACAGTCGTCCCGTCGGGTTAACGTGAAATGTGATGAGGTGCCACGCGCTGAAATCCATTTATGTAGCAGTGTCAAGGGCCAGCATCTTCGCGAGCATCAGTGCTTCGTATCAGCTTCTGGTGTTGCTAAAACACATTGCCAGCTGACATCGTTGTGAAAATAGAAAACTGGTTATATAAACATCTGCGACTCTTCACCACACATGTTCTCTTCAAAATATGTCTCTGCGTGCAATATTTGTACATATGTTTAGCGTCTTTTCATGACGTGCCGCTCAATAAAAAATGTAACACGGTCACCTTCCCTCTTCGTACTTCGCGCAAAGTTGATTTCCAGGCACGTGGGATCTGCTGATTGTTTTTCTTAACGCTCGAGTGCTAAAGTTGTTCATGTGTGCTCTCGTCGTTCCTGGGTACATACCCGCATACCAGTGGCACATACCCGTCCGTTGGTATGTGCCACTGTCTGACGGGAAGTGTTTGACGACGTACGTAACGGGTTTTTGACAATATTCATGCCATGGCTAGCGCGTCATATTTCTCAAACCATATTACCCTCCCATACTAATTTTGGTTCACATCAAATTAAGGGGGTGACCACGAGAGCACCCAAACGTAAGCGGCTAGGTAGATAGATAGATAGATAGATAGATAGATAGATAGATAGATAGATAGATAGATAGATAGATAGATAGATAGATACGCTCAACGTCGTTGAAGTTCAATTCAATTTCAATTTCAAAATTTGTTTTTTCCTACTGAAACGTTCCGTATGTCAGTCCAATAATTCCATATGTTTCCATAAATAATGCATATGTTTCCCATATATTTTCCATATATTTTCGTAAGATTCTTACGGAAACATACGAAATTATTGGACATCACATACGGAACGTTTCAGTAGGGTATTGTTTTCTTGTACAAGACACAAGAAACAAAAGGATGTTGGGGATAACGGTATAGAGCCTGACACAGGACCCAACACCCTAGGAGAGTTTGCTAAGAAATGCTTCGCATTTGATATTTACATGCATTTACATTTTTTAACAGAATGAAAAGCAGGCAAGGATGATAACATACCAGCCTATCTAATTCCGGCACTCTACACACCGTGCTTTAAAAAAGCAATCATCCGAGTGAGTTGGAAAGATGAGAATTTTAAGCAATAAACAGGAAAGAGGACATATAAACCTCACCAAAAAACTCGGCTGAAACGTCTGGGCAACTAGACGTAGAACAAACAGAAATCAAGGATTATGACTGGCTCAATAACGTATGATTCGGAAAAGACATTGCATTGCTGTAATAAAGTAAGTTTAGTGATCTTGGTAAGCAACGTAAACATGAAAAAATAAAACCATATATGGGAGTATATACAGAAATAAATAGGTGTTCTCAATTATCATGAGCCGCATAAAGAAGGATGTCTAATATTAGGACTTCTAACAACTACTAACCGGAGATTGTATTCACAAAGAAATGCTAGAATAAACAGGAATGAGCATGAGCGCATGACGCAGGCACTGCCACATAATGCCAGGAAAACTAACGCAGTCGTCATACGCAAAGTGTACAATCACTGAACACTGCTAGGCATAAAATAAGGGGCTGAAAAATAAAAGATAACAAGACAAGCAGAGAAAAAAATAAGGACAAGGAAACGTGCAAATCAACATAAAAAATAGGAATCATAAAAAGTTATCAGCTGACGGAAGAATGAGTTAGGAAACAAACAGGCGTTGCACACGTACTAGTTGACATGAAGCAAAATATTTGCACCTGGGCTGACCACGGAAAGCACACGACAGACATCCGGTGCACAAAAAGGGCCGCGAAATAGCTACCAAGAGATAAGAAGCACTGTTTGGAAAGCAGTGCCCAAGTTAAAAGTCCGCAGGGATAAAAGTAAATAAGCTCGCACAGGTAGGGAGAAGCTGGAGACGGATTGAGAGATGCCTTCTTCTTGCGGTCGACTGAAACAGAATCATAATGATGATGGTGTTGATATTTGAATCACTCACGCTTGATAAAATTTCAATTTCAATATCGAAATTTGTTTTATTGTTTTCTTGTACAAGACACAAGAAACAAAAGAATGTTGGGGCTAAAGGCATATCGCCTGACAGAGGACCCAACACCCTTGTACACAGTTCGTACATCAAAAAATAAAAATAAAAACAGCTTTTGCGGCATCAGACCTTCATGAACAAAAGAAGCAACAAAGAAAATATAGCTGCCAAAAATATCATGTTGCATTGAATCTGGCGTTATGATGCTATGTGTTACCTTGGAGTGTTTTGGTCTCCACTGAACGACCACTGGAAGGTTGCTGACGGGACTTTAGGGTCAAAATCAATGCGGGTTGCTGTGAGGCACTTCAACTTTGGATCCTGGTTGACGTCCCTCAGAGCCACCAAAAAAGGGTCCATGCCCAATATCTATAAGTGAAAAAAAATGCTTACAAAGCATTTGCCGAAAATATGTGGTCGCGTCATTGTGGCCTTATAAACGTAGGTTTACATTTCGTAAAATATTTGTTTTTTAGTTATATTTTTATTTTGTTTGTACATGCCAAACACTGTGAGTGTCTTTCTGTTGTATTCTCCTAAGTACCTTGGCGAGCGCACACCCATAAAGGGACATGATGTCTCAAAATTCTGGAGTGCTTTAAGATGTTCACTTCGAAAGCACGCTCACAAAGAACGTATGGCTAGTCGCAAAAAAAAAACAAAAAACATCTTTATCATCCATGCATTATATTAAATGACCTCTAAAGCCTTTCTGAGAACAACAGAAAAAACATGCTGTTGTCTTATCCACCAATTAGACTTCACCTCAGTAGCATTCATGACTACAGCAGCAGCGTATTTACCAATTCCGAAACAACACTAGGGTATTTATACCAGCCCATTTTAGATGTGAATCTTTAAAGACGATAGTCTTTCTTGAAGACCCTCGACACAAAAACTTTGGTCTGTCTGTAATTCTGTCTGTTTGTTCGTCGTTACCGCGAACCGCGTACTCTCAAACAATACCAGACGATACCCTGAACGGCCGACCCTATTTACACCGTCCACCAATGTTGCTCAAGGATCAGCGGTCGTACATGTGCGAATGTCAATGATAAAGCAATTATTGCGCATATCTGAGGCACCATAACAACACGTATACATTCTGCATATTCGTCTTTTACTAGAAAAGACATACACAAGTAAATCTAAGGACCGTAGCGCTTATAACGCTGCGCTGACCATGCAACACTTGTACGAAGAAGCGAGTGTTTCCAACGCTTTGCTAAGATGACAGTTGTGGCACCTACCCGTCGCCTTGCGTTCTACACATCATCACCTCTGAGACGGGCGCGCATGCTCGTCTTCGGGCCAGGCGCCTTGTTTTCCAAATAAAACTGCCAGATGGCGCTCATGTCTCACGCGTGATGTGATATGAAGCGCTCGTCTGCCTCCACTGCACGCTCGAGGCCCTAACGAGTGCCACCGGAATACTAAGACCAATGTTCTTGCGCAGAACATCAAATAAATGTTTTATTCACTCACTTCACACGCAAGACCATCGTCTTTCAACGAGTTTTGCAGATTACAAGCAGATACGGGGCCAATGATTTTATTGGGGAACCGATGGCACATTTCTCGATTTCGTCTGTCTGTCTGTCTGTCTGTCTGCCTGTCTGTCTGCCTGCCTGTCTGTCTGTCTGTCTGTCTGTCTGTCTGTCTGGTCACCCAAGTTTCGGACATGAGGCTGTCGTACTTTAACCAGGTATGCCAAAAACTGGCATATGGGGCCACCAGTGTACGACAAACGCAAATAACATGTTCATCGCCACGTGCCTGCGGCGTTTGTGTTGGAATCCGTACTACTGAGAAAGGTACCTTATCACTGTCTGCAGGGCCAGTGCGCGCATTTGATGCACGTGATTGACTGCCTATGTCCAATTCGGTCTGAAACTTACACACTGGAAAACGTAAAGAGCATAAAGAGTAATTATGCCCAGATTTCAAGCCGTATCGACCACCCTGCGTGAAGCACAATCTGTCGCCTTAGACTATGCTTGCACCCGCCCAGCATGTCCTGCACCCGCCCAGCATGTCCTGCTAGTGTTTTGATACGACTAGCTCTACCACTTTCAACCTAGGTTCATATTTAAAAGCATTTTAAGGGGGCTAGGTGAGACATTCATTTACGGTTTGATCAAAATGAAAATTCACTGTAGCACAGAAATACTGATAGAGGTCCAGCAAAGGTCCCCAACCTACCCCGACGTTTTCCTAATTGCGAATAATTGTTCTTTATTCTTTCTAAATATCAATCTTTATGTTAGTGCTTGTATGATACCAGTGGTCATTTCAGTATTGACTATGCGCTGTGTAATCTTGTATTTACCGAATAACGTCTACTCCAATGACACAGCTATATATACATTTGATGATTTCCGCAAGGATACGCTGAGGAGCGCACATTAAATTCTTTGCCATTAAAACTGACGTCTACGCTGCAGAGGGTGCGCCGACCCGACGTTTGTTTGGACCGGAAGCAAGGTCCGCGTGCGCGATAAATATGCAATATGCGCACAACTGCTGCGCTCTTGCAAACGCGTCGACTCAACCTATTTAAGTATAGCTATGTGCTCACTTATTCAAATGCCTTTAGCAGACTCGGGTAAAATGTATAGTATGCGTGAGTGGTTCACGTGAAAGTTTCATGCCATTTTTTAGTGTTTGTGAGTAAATTTTGGTATGTCAGGCCTTAGCTCACATCTACACATTTTTGATACCACAGTGATGAATTTTATTGATCAAGTTTGTTGATCAAGTGATATCAACATGTACATTTACTGCTATAATTGCATAGGTTGAAAATGGATTTGAAGCTAAGCCTGCAATTCAGAGGAATTTCAAGGTGGCTACTACAATGTTGCCTTTAACTGGATAATTTACTGAAATATTACCCTCAACTGATTACCAGTTGGGAATAATTGTATACCACTATCTGCTACTCTCGCAGTATTTTCTTATACCTCTGGGTAATTAACTGAAAACTCAACCCTATAACACACAGCAAAAAGTGCTCTTATGCGAAGTTCTATATTTATTTAAACTAAACCATACAGCTTGTAGCTGGTGGTGGTGAATAAAACAGCTGTCACGAAGAACAACTTACAATATGTCATATGCAGCCAACATAAAGGTGCTACTGTTCTCCGCATGTCTGTTGGCATTGTAATCGCTGGCCTAGTAAAATGCGAAAGAGACAACAAGAAAAAAGGAAAACAATCACAGGCGAAGATGCTTGCCTAGATAAACGTAATATTAAGGCATGTTATAGGTAGTAGTGCATTTTGGTCATACAAGTACGCTCACGTATTCTTAGATGTACATTGGCCTAAGCCGTGCTGCCCGCAACAATGTAGACCACCAACACAGCAAAATTGTAATTATTACAATACGCCAGAAAAAATGACATTCGCTGGCATTAACGGTATTTATTTTGCCACTCACTGGCGTTCATTGCGTAGCACATATAAAATTGGTGGAGAGTGCTGCGAAAATCAAGGGTCTGCAACAGAACTTGTAGCGCAACGATAAAGACTGCCATGACTGCTGCACTGCCCTCAATAATTTTTCATCGCACGCAAATGATTCAATTAACTCTTTCGTTACCACAAGACAATAGTAATTTGCTTATGTCTAGGGAAGAAATGTTTTGCAGCACGAAACATACTCCAGCGCGCATTGCTGCATTACAAATTACGCATAGTGAAATGCTGTTTTCAAAAATTATAGGTCGTTGATCAACAAAATATTTTGAGCTGTACAATACCTATAAAATCAGAAATGTTTTGTAGCCACCAGATAAAACGAGCAACAGAAAACACCGTACGCGCAAATACAATCAGAGAGGCACACAGACAGAGAATTTAATTGAGGTCCCGAGGAACGCTACCTCAAGGAGATAGAGCCGCGGGCCGCTCCTACGTCGGAACGGGTAGGCCGAGCCTCACTGCCGCGTCGTGGGCCCTCCGGACAGCCCATAGTTAATGTGCCAGCTCTGAGCATGAAAAACTTACAGCGAACAATTTAAAGATCAATGACCCAGAAATAACATAAAAATTATAAATGCGCTACCCAGTGTTCCAGTTAACACAGACAAAAAAATGCCCCCGAGGCACTGCATTGTTTATTGCGAATTGCGGTGAGCCTTTTGCTTGTTTCATGAGACTGATTCCCACGCGCACTTTTCGAATAAACTTTTTATCACGCGAATAGCCTCTTAGTGTTCTAATATATACGAGTGTCCGTGATATCAAGAATGGCCTAATGAATACAAGTCCGATAAACTTTATGAGCTCGAAAAGTGTAACGTCCTTCTATGAGCCATCTCTTTCAGGAAAGGTTAGCGTTGCAAAATACGCATTCAATCATTTTAGAATGGAAACTGTTATGAGATCACAACGCGGGTCACGCGCGCCGCTTTAGTTGTCCACTGCCGCCAGTGTCCGTAACCCATATCGCATGAAATGAAAAAAAGTCGGTAAATAAAAACCACCAAGTACACTGTGCAGATTGACTCCAGGTCCGCTGCAAGCCAGCCCAGTATTCTATCACTCAGCCATGCTGCTTTTTTTTAATTCAGCTCGTCGCGATGCGCCAACGCGCGCCTATCTTTCACTAGTACTGTGCCCCACGCATGAATGTGGGGGGTCTGGTGCCTGTGCGCTCGCGCTTATCCTTCCTGGGGGCGAATCATGTGCCTTTGTCTTTCACCGGAATGATTGCGTTAGTTGCAAGGGCCACAAAGGTCAACTTAACTCGCTGGGCAGGCCCCGTTAGCGAGGACAACGCGCTTTTCAAACACAGTGAAGTAAAAAGGACACTCGTTAGCTCGCACTCATGTTTGTTGTTGTATCTAATCTTATAGTGCGTCGTTTTTGTTAAACATCGCGTCAGGCATCGAGTTGTAAATGTTGCTAGTTAGGTCGTGTCATGTGTGTGTTGGTTTCATGCGTCATTCCTGCATGAGTAGCGTGCTGCAAATTTCAATTTGCTAGCCGTTCTCAGCGGTACATTCAAGCTATTGCTATCTCATTAACTATGAAACTATGACTTTTTTTGGCAGTTCCAAAAACGAAGGTAAAGTCCCTCGAAAGTAATCAATACCTTGTCGACCATCGACATCAGTATGACGTATAGCCAAGCGCGACCTCTAGATACTATGCAGAGCCAATAGTATGACCACATATGCCGAAATTTATCCTCATTATCAATGGCAAGGTATTTTATTCTACGTGTGTCTTGCGGGAAATCTTTCTTTAATGTTTTTGTTAGGACATCGCAGAAGAACACCGCGTCCCAACAGTCGAGACAAATGTGCTCTATTGTTTCAGGCTTCGTACATAAAAAGCAGCAATCACCCCACGACATCGAATTGCGGCATCGACGTCAAGAATTCACTCATGAAGTGATCCCCATCTACAGCGCATATAGAAAAAGGCTTGCTATAGTTATATCGTTAGCGCGATTGATCAAGGCATGACGAAGGGGTGCGATGGGAAGAAAAGCCACTATCTTTATTGTAGCAGTGCTTATATACCGAACGAGACAAGAAAGGGTGCGTACCCTCACCGCACTATCGTATCAAAGGGGGCGGGTTTGACACGAGGCACATGCTGCGCAAGATATGATACATCCTCCTTGGTGTATAAAACAATTGACAGGTGAAGACAACTGGAACGCTCACAAAATGTTAAGCACTTATTCACGGCACTTGAACAAAGTTCTCGTTGTAAGCCAGCCGTCTGGGCGCTTTTCGTTGTCGCTGTGATCTTCTTGGAGCTTGTGTAGCTGTTGTGCCCGGGATTGGGGCCGCGGGCATGTACCCGGCAACGCGACTGCAACCTCATGCGCCGTAGCAGATGGCGCTACGTCCTCACCGCTGTCGGGAAGGTCTGGGCTGAAGTCCTCGCTGGTTAACAGCAAATGTCGACGATTCCGTCGCAGCTGCCGCCCTTCTTCTGTCGTGACGTCGTAGGACCTTGGATGCCCGGAAGGCGTTAGGACTTTAGCTCTCTTCGCCCATGCTCCTTTGGAACGCAGACGAACCGTGGCCCCTGTTTCAAGCAGCGCCAGCAGTCTTCCAGGGCGGTTGGTGTGGGAGCGCTTCACGATGAAGTGTTCAGGTCCGGTCTCCATGTCCGGCAGGATGTTGCGCAGTCTTCTGCATTGCAATATCTCCGCTGGGGCCATGCCGCACTCAGGTGGCGTTGTCCTGTAAGCAAAAAGACCCAGCCAGAAATCTCGCTTTACTTCATGCGTTTTTTTTCAGGATTTTCTTGATGACCTGGACGCCTTTCTCAGCCAAACCATTCGATTGTGGATATCCTGGACTGGATGTGATGTGTCTGAAGTCGTATGCCCTCGAAAAGGACCTGAACTCGTGACACGAAAATTGTGGGCCATTATCTGTCAGAACTTCCAGTGGAATGCCGTACCTAGAAAATATGGCGCTAGTTGCCTGAATGACAGAGCTCGCCGATGTGTCACGCAACTGCTCCACTTCCGGAAAATTTGACAGCGCGTCGTATACGCTGAGGTACCACCGCCCATCGTACTCAAACATATCAATGCCAACTTTCTGCCACGGCATCTCGGGCACCGGGCGCATCATTAAAGGTTCTTGCGGCTGAGTAAACGCGTACTTATTGCACACTGCACATTTCTGCACGAATGCACCGATGTCGGCGTTAATGCCGGGACAAAATACAAGTCGCCTTGCCCTTTCCTTGCATTTGTTGATGCCCATGTGTCCTTGGTGAATTCTTTCTAAAGTGTCCTTCCTCAAACTGTTCGGAATCACCACTTTACATCCTTTCAAGAGGACACCTTTCACCTGCGTCAGCTCGGTAGAGAATGACTTCAGCTGTCCCTCTATGCGTGACCCGTGTTTTAAACTGTTCAGCACAGCTTTAAGATACGAGTCCCGACTCGTTTCTGCTGCTAGTTGTTTCCACGTGTCATCACTGACAAGAGATGAGACGACACTTACGGCGTGCACTTCCACATCATCGCTCCCGACTTCACTGGCATAACTTGAGGTGGGCGCGCGCGACAGCTATCGGCCAGCAGAAGCTGCTGTCCTGGAACGAACCGCTTTTCTGTGTCATAGCGCATCAATCGCAGGAAGAATCGTTGCAGGCGGGGCGGCATATCACCAATGGGTTTTTGGGCGATAGCGAGCAAAGGGTGATGGTCGGTCTCTAAGATAACGTTTCGGCCATACACGAAGTGGTGAAAGCGTTCGCAGCCGTAAACACAAGTCATCGCTTCCTTCTCAATTTGCGAATAACGCTGCTCTGCTTGAGTTAGCACGCGGGAGGCATAGGTGACCGGCTTCCATACGTCATTGTTGCACTGAAGTAGCGCCGCTCCGATACCGTTCTGCGATGCATCGCATGATACTTTCGTGGCTTTCGTGGCGTCGAACACTGAAAGCACGGGCTGCCTGCTGAGGTCAGCGCAAAGTTGCTCCCACTCGAGCGCGTGGTTGGCACTCCATTCAAACATTGTATCTCGCTTCAGCAGGCTTCGCAAGAGGCTAGTCCTTTCGGCTAGCGATGGGAGGTTTTTGCCGAAATAATTGGGGACTCCTAGCATTCTTTGAACGGCCGATTTGTCTTCCGGCGCAGGCGTCTTGAGCATACATTTTATCAAGGAGGGGCTCGGCCTGATGCCATCCTTGCTGATGACGTCACCGAGATACTCTATCTCCTGTACGCCGATTGTGCATTTGGCCGGGTTAAACGTTAAGCCAGCTTGTTGGGCTGCTTGTAGTGCCGACCTCAGGCGCGCGTCATGCTCTTGCCGAGTTTTGCCCCAGATAAGGACATCATCAACGTACACCCTGACACCAGGAAGGCCATCCAAAATTTCTGTTGAGGTTTTCTGAAAAACCTCAGATGCCGATGATATACCAAACGGTAATCGCAAAACACGGTACCGGCCGAAGGGCGTGGAGAACGTGCAAATTTTTGAAGTTTCTTCATCGAGCGGTATTTGATGGAACCCTGAATTTGTATCCAGTCGAGAGAACAGCGTCGCGCCAGACAACTCGGCTTCTATATCCTCTCGTCTAGGCATCTCGTAGTGTTCTCGTTTCAGGCATTGATTTATTTTTCTAGGATCTATGTAAATGCGCAGATTCCCGTCTTTTTTTTTTCGGGCAATTACAAGTGGAC